TTTTGGAGGTCCGTGTTTGCTCTGCTCCTAATTTGTATTGTTTTATGGACTTTGATATTGAATATTATTATACTCCTGTTAAAATATTTCCTATAGTATATAAAGTTCAGAAGGTAAAATAGCTATCTTTTATAGTTCATGTATAGCAAAGCTATACCCCGGGGTATAGTTTTTGCTATCCACCCTGGGAAAATGTTCATGCAATTTTTGCCTCCAATTTCGATTTCCAACGATAAATCTAATGACTGATGATGTCATAATGACTTCAGTATCATTGTGACGTCATCAGGATTTCAGATTATTCTTGCAATATTATCTTATTCCAAAAAAAAATTCAAACCTCAGAAATAATAGTATACATCAGTATAATAAAACGCTTATCCACTGGTTGTGAGTGGGATACTTCTTTTATCAAACCCTTGACAGTGACTATTCCCCTCGGGCAAGCCCTCGGGGAATAGTTCCCTGTCGCGGGTTTGATAAAAGAGCTATCCCACTCACACCCAGTGGATAAGTGTATACTGTTCTTTATCTACATATCCTTCTCATACCAATTTTAGACCATTACGAGGGTTGTCCAAAAAGTTCGTGGACAATGACGGTTTTGTGGAAATTAATGGTTCTATATAAATCTTTTGTATATCAAAATATTTCTTATGAAAAAACAAATCAGAATGATTTAATTTTTGTGGATGAAACGTAATATTTTTGTAAAATCGGGGTCTTTAAAGGTCGCGGATAGTGCGCACAAAAAAGTGGTCTCCCAGCCACAACACACAGATGTGATAATGCGGTAAAATACAACATAAAAGTTTACTGGAAACAAAAGTGGTGCATAAAAGGCGCCTCTAAATACAAATAAGAAATAATTTGGTTAATTAAAAAAAAAGTGGGGGATGTAGTGAGGTGGAGGTTGCTTTTTTGTCTTCAAAAATTTCGAGGCAGCACTCCGAGTAAACAAAGAAGTATATATATGAAAAGAAAGTCTAACGCGGCAATCTGATTGACAGAAACAGCCAATTGCAAGACTTTGATAAAATTTGTGGACCCGATAAAACCAGGTCACAGAAAGAACCGGGTTAACAAATTAAAGGTTTTTTAAAATAACAAAAAAGATAAACACATTAACAACCACAAAATTACATACACAAATTTTTTTACTTAAATCGATTTTTTTTGAAAATAAACCTTATTTTACGATATTAAATGTATAAAAATTGAAATTGGTATCAAAGCTCTTTTTTTTTATTTAAACTCTGAGTACATTGTAATGATATTTTTTAAGCTAGAATGTTTATTATTCAGTATTGTGTTATTACTTTAATTATTTATAGGAATGGAATCGTATAATTGTTATATGTCATGACTGAGATATATGTTTGCCATGTATGGGAATTTGTCCTCACTGATGTTTTCCCAATGGTTGGTCAAAAATGTATTCACGATTCAATTTAACGATTAGATCAATAGATATCATCTATGCTACCAATCGCAATAGACACACAACAGGAAACGTTAAAATTCCTCATAGTAAATAAAAAAAAATCATAATGTTTTTGTTTTTCTATGGACAAAGAAAGCAGCATTTAATAGGAAAAACCCTGTCAAAAGATATAATATAAGAAGGAAATAATACTACAATATCATATTATTGAGGATAGTCGAGATGATCGATGTATTACACACTAAATAAGCATGTTGTTTCCTGAAAATGTATATGCAATCGCTAAAACGTTGAAGCTATTTTGAATAATTGAAATACCCCACTATTCATAAACGTAACAACACTGCCTTTAAGCCGGCTTTTCACTTGGTGTTAAAATGTAAATTAAGTTGTCTGTCATTTTTGTTTTAAGATAATCACCGGAGCAGTGAACACTTTAAATCAAATGCAAAAATCCTGTGCTATCACAAATAAGATGAAATAAAATATGTTATGTGTTCGTTGTTCATTATCAGTAGCTGCAGAACTGTAGCTCTCCAGAAAAAATATAATGACAGACCGAAGAGCTACATTGCCACCCATTGAAAAAAAACTTGTTGCGCACAAAAAAGTGCAAGGATTCCTGATTCATTTTCCCATGTTTCAAAAACTTTCATCCCAAAATATTACTAACGGTGTGTTCCTAACATATTCTTTCATAGATTCCACACCAACACATTACTTATAATGGTTGCCAATAGCCCTCCTGGCCCTTGAATTGCGATCATCGAAATTTGTGCTCCTTGTCATGATCGAAATAATGAAAAAAATCCGTCGTCAATTCAGTATATACCTGATGGACTAACCATTGGTATGAAAAACGTCAGTCAGCATTTGACTCAATGATAAATTGTATTTGCTTACAAGGTCATTGTATCGACCATAAAATTTTATGAAAGGATAAATGAGACTGCTGATATTCTTGTTTCATCAACTTGTTTGTCAATAATTAACCTCGGTTTAGAAATTGTTCATACGTAGGATATGCTCTTGCGTAGCGAATCAACTGAGATATATACACTCCGTATGCAGGTGATGAAGGTATATTGCTACATAAGTAAGGGAAGTTGACGGTAGAAAAGTTAACTTCATCACGTTTATCAAAGAGCTTGGTTGTTAGGTTAGGATAAATGTCTTTTTAAAGTAAAATATCAAAATATCCAAGTATATACACCAGGATATATCGTATCGACGTAGGAATGGAAATTACCATTGTTAATTGACAATATGTCGTCAATATACCTAAATGTCAAGTTGAAGGCCACACCAAGTGTTTTATTCTTTCATGCGTATGATTTTGGACAAATTCTGATTCATATGAATGCAAAAATAGGTCTTCTAATAACGGAGAACAATTGGTATCCATGGGAACTCCAATAAATCATTGGAAGACCTGGTCTCCAAACACCACATATATATTGTCAATGAGAAACTCAAGCATCTTTTTGTTGTCAACCTAAGAGTACTTAATCAGAATGTGTTACAACGAAATAATTTTGCAAATGACCAAAGACAAGGTAAGAAATTTACTAGTTCCATTTTTATTGAAAGAAATGATACATACAAACCCTAAACTTGGCGTACTAAATAATTAATGCTTATCAATTCCATCGTTCAGGTAAATCACATCCGGATTAATTTTAAATTACTGAGAAATCAACATTCAACATCAAGATGTATGACTATAAACAGGTATATAAATTAAGTTTATTAAGGACCATCAATACACCGATGAAATTATTTAAAGTCAAGATCTAGTAAATGAAGGTGCGTATATATATATCAAATTTAAGAAAAAATTCCATTAATGATGCTTTTTAACTTTAGCTTGGTCAAATAAGGTGTTTTCCCTTCACAAAAAAATATTATACATGTAGTTAACTATAGTTAACAATAGTAGCTATAATACACTATAGTAAATCAATGTGTCAAAATTTGCACTATAGTAAATCAAAGTGTCAAAGTTATCACAATAGTATATCAAAATTTTTAAAGTGTTCACTTTAGTTTCATAGTTATCACTTTAGTAAATAATTTTTTAAAAAGTCATCACTATAGTAAATCAACGTTTTCCCATTATAAATCAAAGTTTCAATAGTGATAAACATGGTAAAGAAATAAAAGTTTTCATAGTTATCGCTATAGTAAATCAAAGTGTCAAAGTGTTTACTGTAATAAATCAGTGTTTAAGTGTTCACTGTAGTAAATCAAAGTGTCAAAGTGTTCACTATAGTAAATCAAAGTTTTCATAGTGTCAACGTGTTCACTATAGTTAACTATAGTATTTTTTGTTAGGGTTGGATCATAAACAAGATGAAAAATCATATTGTTAACTTCCAGTTCCAATGGAAAAAAACTCGTCATGAATATGGGAGTTTTTTGACATATTAAACGAAAAAATTGTATCCAGATTGCCTACAGTCTTTCAGAAAACGATAATTTGTATGTTCTTGGCCTTTTCTGGAATATAATATCAGATTTAATATAGGTTTTGGGACTACTTTTTGTGTGATTTCAAATTGACCTCCATGAAAATACTTTCTACGTAATTCTATTAGAGCCGTTAAGTACAGGAAAAAGAAAGTTGAAAGTGATAATGACGTCATAATGGATCTAGCACCAAAGATTTAATCAAAAGACATTTACTAGATCTTGACCTTAATGATTTGCCAAAATTATACAGTGTAAATGAGGATATTTTGAAATAACCGAATTCATTTTTAATATGGGTAGTCTGCCTTTTGTATTCAGGAAAAATCTTCAAAGACAATGAAGTCATAATCTTGAAAAATGGCTTTTGTTTGTTTAAATGGAAAAAATGCAACCCAACAAAGTTATCAATTACTCTATCTTGTTTTTCTTCTGTATTTTGTTTAGAATACTTAGATTTATTCTAAATTTATTAGAATTATATTCTATTTTGTTTTAGATTATGGGTCAGTCTAATTACACAAAAGTACCCAAATATTAGGGTGCAGTGTAGAGAGGTCGTTAATTTATTTGTTGTGATTTATGATATTGTTTTCACTTGTTTTGTTTTTATGACTTTGTTTTGATCTCATTTTGTTATGAAGAAGGAACATCCCGAAAATTTGACAGTTTTAAATTTTGCGTTGGTCCTATAAGTGCTTTGTAAATATTTCTATCCGTTACCTTATTTTTTGTCAGAAGATCCGACGCATAGGATATACAGTGCTGTTGGTTTTCTAGTGCTCTCTCTCTCTCTCTCTACTTTTTTGGTAATAATCTTTATCTTTTTATCATGCTATGTATATTCATAATACAATATTTTTGTTATGCTATGTATATTGATAATTTCAATGTAATGTTTAGCCACACTTCATAGTTTACCATTCATTCAGATGGTCCAATCAAATCTATATATTAGCGATAGGAAAATGGAGAATGCATGCTTTCTAGCCAATCACTTTTCGTGAATCATTAAAGCTATATCATTTAAACAAGATCAATTTTAAGATAGGAAACATAGTTGTTATTGTTAAAGATACAGTGCAATATGAACAGTCTCTCTGTTATCTGTTTCGTTGTTGTATTTTTTAGGCTATCTCAAGCTACCAATGTTTCCAAGAACTATAACGCAAAACCGGAATTTGATAACAAGAAGTCAGATAATGAACTTTTAGGAGAATATACTGCTCGCTCTTTGTGTGAGTGTTCTGCTTTGTGTCAGAATGAATGTGGATTCTATGGTTACAATCCTAAGATAAAGAAGTGTCGTGTCCACAAGAGGAAGTTTACGTCTGGACTGTCAGATGAGGTCGGGTGGAGATATTATAGTTGTAAGCAGAACCTTAACTTTTACTTTGTCGGTTTCTTTTTTTCTTTCTCTCTCACTTGCATAAAGTTTCATTTTTCTTAATGATTCATTAACTGTATGTTTTACATCATATTCGAAAATGTATTACACCTGTAGAGTCAAGACCATATACCGAAGAAAGACTTTGAAATTACACCTATGCTTGGATCCCAAGGTCATCGATCAATTATGATTCTTTATTATGCCAGCACCTACTGTTGCACAGGAGTAAGGTTTTTAAGGTCTCCTCCAAACGACTCGTAACTTTGACTTTAAATGCCGATCTCGTGGCAAAGCAAACGTCATTACCAATCTTTAATCCTTAACTTTGACAAGATGTTGCAAACGAGAATCGAAAACAGGCCTTCCGATCACGAAGCAAAGGCCCTACCACTAGGCTGTAGCACTTGGATCTTCAAATTATAATTTGTTTAGTTAAAAGAAGATTTGATTAATTGTTTAAAGCAAATTTTAATAATAATAATAACAATAAAAAAAGAGTACTAAATGTTTAATTCATATGTACGATAATATGATATTTTGAAATGCACAGTTTTAAATGAGATCTAAAAATCATTTGAACCTCAGAGATCAATGCGGTTGTCATTAAAACAAAAGATAATAAAAAGTTTCTGTAACATATTGTTTTTCTTTATATCCTTATAAATCTTTTTAAGATGCAGTATATCTCTTTGTATATTCATAATTATTTACCTTTGCTTTCAAGAAAAGGTTTTAATCTTCTCTTACAAAATAAAATTGTTTTTTTTTCTGCACTAGCTCTGCCTATAGATTGTAAAGACCTACATGAAAGTCGTCACAATGCTTCAGGTGTGTATGAAATCTATCCCCTTGGAACCATTACCAGCCCCCTAAGAGTTTTCTGTGACATGGAAACAGAAGACGGGGGATGGACAGTAGGTTGTTTTTTTCATCATCGTAGTTCATTGAACAGTTAGTTTACTTGTAGGATAAAACAAATATAAACAATTTGAGTCCCTGTCTACTACACGTTGATCATACAAATGTTCAAATTATGAATCAATAAGCATCCATGGTTATTTTATTAGGCAATTCAAAAAAGGGTAGATGGATCCCTGAGCTTTTACCAGAACTGGGACGAATATAAAAATGGGTTTGGTTCACCGGAGCAGAATATCTGGATTGGTAAAAATGAATCTCTTTCAAAGAGGAATTAACATCCGCTATGAAATTTGAGATTATTTCTTTGTTGTGACACACAGTCATTTTCAAGCATTTCAAAAATCTGGTATTAAGACTGGGTAATTTTTTCGGCAATATTCACGCAAGGTGTTTAACTGAATTCTTAAAATAAATTGATAAAAAAACAAACCAGAGGAAATATAATTTCAATACCGGTAAGTAGTATATAATTTCAAAGAGATAATAAGCATAAATGTCTACGGCTTAGTAAAATAATTCGATATTTCATAAGTTAGGGTAAATTTGTTTTACAAATTCAATACATTGGTTACAACGCACTTTTCAATAAAATTCAAATATATCTGAATACAGGAAATGACGTTATCCATCAGTTAACAAGGGGAAAGAACTCCTTCTTATATGTTACCATCACACTAAAGAATGGCACCAGGTTTTATGAAATGTACAGCCAATTCTCCGTTTCCAGTGAAGCAGACAAGTACAAGCTCTATCTTTCGGGGAATGCCACAGGAACATTAGGTAAGTGAAAAGTAGAACCAAAGAAAAGAAAAAGGGAAAGAGAGAAACAGCGAATAGGAGGAAGAGGAGAATGAGAGAAAAAACAAAGTTGCAAACTCGACTTACTAAGTGTGCTGATAATGATATTAATATCGACTTATATATTATGATGTTTCATCCATCAGGAATATATTTTACTACATGTAACAGATGTACATAATTCAGATACGTCGATATATAAGGTATTTCACAGCTTTGTCAGTACATTCAAAAGTAGATTGAATGCTCTTCTCTGCGATTTTTTTGTGTCGTTTTGTTGAATATATATTCGCTAATAATTTTTCATATTGTAGAATAATATGTTATAGGTTATTATTTTGATACTGAAGTAGCTTTGACTTTTGAGAGTTTTACTGATCTTAACATATTTCTAAAGATTTCAATCGAGAGCACTTGGTGGATTATATATTATAATCGTACTTATTCAAGAAAGTCCTTTTAACTCTTTGCCTATCACGCCGTCTGTGACGTAATAGTCGCATTACATTTGTTACTTTTTGATGACGTTATCCTTTTCCCCACAGCGCACTTGCGATAACGTGCTGAAAAGACGTGGTTTTGAAGATGAATAATTTACACGGCGTGTGTAGCAATGGTTTTCGTATATATCGCCATTATATTAGTGCAACAATCTTTTAATTTTGAATTCAAGTATTGATGGTGATTTAATCCTGTTTATTTTGTTTGAATAATTCTTTCATGTGGAATGTTACAAACTTAATTTTTTATTATCTTAGCTTACAACTTATTTATTTCAAATTTCATATTTAAATCTAAAACATCAATGAAAATAATTATTTGATTTTGCAGACAGGGTGTCATTTAATGTTCTTGCTTAAGAAGGACACTTGCCCCCCCCCCCCCTTTATTTGTTTGGTCCATGCATATCAACTTTATCGAACTTGCAGGAAACTTGCAGAATCTGCAATTATAGATAAAAATAGATATGAGGTCTTGCAGAGAATGATTCTCACTTGTGAAGATTTTTATAAAAGTTATTTTACCGATTTTTTAGGACAAAAAAAGAAGTTATAGCTTTCAGCATATTTAATTTTATTTATAAAGAGTTTTTACACAAAAAAAATATTGTTGGAATATATTGCTTAATTTTATATTGAACAGTACAGTAGCGTATTGATTGTCTAAGGAAAACATTTCATTTTTTAGTTAAAGTTTAACTGATCACATCTTTTTAATAGTTTGGCCGATATACGGATGAGATACTGCCGTCGGACTCGGCTTTAAATTAATCAGTTAAAATTAGCATTATATATCTTATTGCTAGCCAAGCTTTTCTGATCCGAAAACTACTATGGTTGAGATGTAAAGCGAATCGGAAACCCCTTTGGCTAGCTAAGATTGAGGAATCTTTACACCCACACGCGGACTACTAAAAATACCAGCACATTTAAAAAGCCATGAAATAAAGAAAAAAGATTTTTTTTAATTGGCTAAAGATGAAATTTCAAAAAATAAATAAATAAATAAAGTAAAAAAAACCCAAACATCTAAATGCAATGTATCTTTTCTTAAGAATGGAATTTAATCACATTTTTAAAAACAATGTAATAGTTTACAAGAGATGCCAAGAACTTCTCGGGCGTGGCGGTCAGCACTGGACATTTTCCCCCATGGTGCCCGAAGTATTCCGATTATTTGTGGAGCAAATCAAAGAGTACTCCTATGCATTGATTGTAGATATAGTTATTGAAAAATTTACATAGTAGGTATTTCTACAATTTCTCCAAGGGTTGTCAAAGGAATACATTTTGCCTTCAATGTCAGATTGAACACAATGAATTTTATGAACATGCAGCGTCGATGTAGACGAAACCCGTCCACTTGTAGAAAAAGAATAGTGTATATAAAAAAAATTGCAGAAAATAATGTTAGATTAAGAAACATCACTCTTAAAAAAGTTTTACTTAGTAGTCATTTTTTACTTGAAATAACAAAGATAAGTAATAGATAATTACTAAGCATTTACTTAAAATTTAAAATCAATTACTGAAATATATGTCAATTACTAGATTCAAATGTTTTACTTGATTTTTGTATTTTAAAAAATTGTTTTACTTACACACTAAAAAGTTTTACTTAGTAATTTATATTTACTTAAATTTGTGTATATAAGTAATAACTTTACTTGGTCTTTAATACTTACATTTTACCACTATTTACTATATAATTAATATTTTAATGCCCCCGTAAACGAAGTTTCGGGGGTATATAGTTTTTGTCGTTTCCGTCTGTCTGTCTAGCTGTCTCTCTGATTCTCTGTTTATCCGCAGAAACTTTAACCTTGCCCATAACTTTTGATTTAGCGGAGCTATAACTTTCGTATTTCACACGTGTATTCCTTGTGACAAGACCTTATACACAAAAAAATTCAAACTTATTCTTTATCCAAATCTTTTTAACAGTAAATACCAGGACATTTATACTTCACATATATATTTTTTGTTGAAAGAACTTTCATTGAATACCAACAACTATGAAATTTTGACCTTGACCCTGGAGATTTCCATCCTTGTGAAAAAACTTTAACCTTGGCCATAACTTTTTAACGGTAAGGAAAAGTGCTTTCATACTTACATATATGTAATCATTTTGAGAAGACCATTTATAGGATACCAAGAACTTTGACCTTGACCTTGGAGTTTGACCCACTTTTAAAAAGCAAACCTTGACTGTAACTTTAAAAGGATTAGGGTTAGTGCATTCATACTTAACATAGTTCATCCTTGTGACAAGACCTTTCTTTGGGTACCACCAACTCTGTCCCTTTGTCCTTGACCTTGGAGTTTGACCTACATTTCAAAATTGGTAACCTTGACCATAACTTCTGAAGGGTTGAGGCAAGTGTTTCCATATTTCACATATGTATTTTTTTGTAGCAAGACCTTTCATTAGATACCAATAACCTTGACCTTTTGACCTTGGAAATATCAAGAAATCCCAATAATTATGTTCCCCAAACGAAGTTGGGGAACATATTGTTTTTACTCTGTTTCTTATTATTATTATTATTATTATTATTATTATTATTTTTCTTCTTCCTGGGAAAATTTTGTCCACGAGTGATCTTGTAAACTACACATCCGACTTAGGTGAAACCTTTTTAGGGTTAGTAGGCATGTTATGTAGAGTTGCCAAACAAAGGTCATTTTGCGCGCACGTGCTTGCAAGAGCGCGCACGTGCATTAGGTGAAATTACCAATATAATGGATATTGCCGTAACTTTTCTATTTTTTGATGAATTTTTTTGAAACTCATAATGTAAGGATACATTAGTAGTATAGACAAGATAGCATGGTCAAAATAGCAAGATTTCACGCGCATGCACGTGCGCTTTGCTCTGATTGGCTGAAACTAAAGTATCAATAACTTTCTTGTTTCTAGTCATAATCCTTTGAAATTTTGAACATAGTCCTATATTATAATGGTCTACCGCATGATATATAAGAATTTTCATGAAAGCATGCGCATGTGCGTGTGCTGCAAGCTGATTGGCTGAAACTTTAAATGGCTATATCTCCTTTGTTTTTTGACGAAATTCTTTGAAATTTAAAATATAGTCATGCATTGGGATATCCTACAAAATGATATAGAAAAAAAATCATGAAATCACGCGCATGCACGTGTGCTGCAATTTGATTGGCTGAAACTTTAAATTGCTATTTCTCCTTTGTTTTTTGACGAAATTCTTTGAAATTTAAAATATAGTCATGCATTAGGATATCCTACAAAATGATATTAAAAAAATCATGAAATCACGCGCATGCACGTGTGGTGGAATCTGATTGGCTGAAACTTTAAATGGCTATAACTCCCTTGTTTTTCATCCAAACAGGATGGGATTTAGAACATAGATAGATGTAAGGGACTCCTACAAGAAAGTATGATCATCATGCACGTGCACGCACGTGCGTGCATTTTAAACGAGTATATTTAAAAATACTCTTGAAAGACAAGATGATATGGTCATAACGCACATGCATTCACATGCGCTTGGGTGCAATGCTAAATATTGAATATAATTGGTATCCTTCTGGAAAAACGTTGTTAAAGTCAAAAATGCACAGAGTTTGTCTTATTTAATGAAGCTTACAGGGAATATGGCACCGAAAGGGAGTTGGGGAGCGTTTGGGGAACATCTGTAACGGTTCCCGTTACAATTAGCACTAGTTAAATTTGCATTTAAGAAAAGTTTAACCTTTGCTATGTTGCCATACAGTGGCATAGGTGTTTCACAAACACATCTTGCATGTTTGAATTGTATTTAATTGATTTACTTAAAACAAAAATTTATTTACTAAATCAAGGAGAATTCAGATCAGTAATTACTTAAATATGGTAGTCTTATCACTAATTGTCTGTGAGGAGGAGTTATCTTTCATCTAAATATACCTTCATGTAAAAAAAAAGTCACACTAACAAAAATGCGATATTAAGTACTTGAAATGTTTAACCATTTTTAAAATGGTCCTTAAAAAAATACAACTTATTCAATTTTTAAGGCTTTCGAAGTTGGAATCAAATGTTTTATTGTTATATATAATAAAACAGTTACAAAGAAATTGGCAAAAGAAATGGAAAGTATAATTGTTTCCATCATAAGTAGATTTCTTCTATTTAACCATTCAGAGGGCCCAATTAGGGAACTCTGATAAAGAAATCTGTGAATAGTACTCACATGTCAGAGGGTGGGTACCTTGCAGTGTTTCTAGTAAATAATGTCGATTTTAGTAAATATGATAAGTATTTCATTTACTTAGTATTCTCTTAAATAATAATATTTTAGATTTTAATTAATTTCAGAATTACATTTACTTAGTAATAATTCATAAAATTTAGTAAATAGAAAGCATATTATCTCTGAATTAAGTAATAATAATTTAACAAAAATGAGTAGTTTATTTACTAACTTAAAGTAATAAAATTCCTATAATTTAAGTAACTCTATTGATACTTAGTAAATCATTTTATAAGTAAATGAATTCATCCTTATTACTAATTATGTTTACAATTACAACCATGATAGTCATTTACTTGCTATTCTGACTAAATGGATTACTAATAATTACTAGTTTTTCTCAATCTAATATCTTATTTTAAAAACAACAAGTAAAACTTTTTTTTAGAGTGATGGTATACAATAGAAAATAAATCAATCACTCAGGATCTATTATGAGTTGGTGCGTAGTAGATATACAGATTTTTCAACATCTCTTCTTTTGTGCTTGCTCTGTTATCCCTATGATCAGCATATAAGTAGAATATACAAGTTAACGGCAT